TTCATTCCAAGCCACTAAAAGACTCCTGAATATTTTTAGTACTTTTTACTTTTATTGGCCAAAGCTGCGTTCTCTTAAGATTGTCTGCACTCAGACTTACTTTTGTAAAAATTTTAAATACTGTGTATTGATGCCACGTTAGGCCAGGTGCTTCTGCTCTGTAAATAGAGATTATTGACAAAATCCGAAGATCTGATATGACCGAGTTTCAGAATAGAAATCCAAAGAAATCCTTCACATATATTTAGAATCGGCAATGTTAGTTGTCCTGATCTGGCATCTCAATCTCAGCCATATTCCAACCAGCGTCTCTCGCAATTCTTACTTATGGAATACTTTTATGGTTTCTTGTTTCCAGTCAGTTTTGATGTTCAAAAATGTTAAATGCAATGTCAAACATTATTATCTGTCTTCTTAATACCTGTTTTTTTATTGTTCTCTCTCCTTAATAATGATTCATCTTAAACTCTTTCACTCTCAGTAACCCCTTGAGGCTTATTGGCTTCATCGCCTTGCTTGGTGTGAAATTATTTTTAAAAAATACTGCTTTGTTGACTGTAATTTGATATATTTATAGCTTTTAAATTCTTTTCTAAGAATCTTAATTTCAGTTTTAAAGTGGTTTTCAGTTTCAACTTTTACTGAATTTGGTAATGTTTATGTTTCATTTTAACACAACTCATGATATGCTGTCTACAAGGTTGAATAGTTGTCTGATTAGAGATTAATTCGATGTCAAGTCATTTAAAAAATATCATGGAAATAAAATATTTTTCTGGCTTAGTCGCGACAGGGGGTAATTGTTAAAAAGAAAATAAGTAACATGTTTGTCCAAACATTTACGTTGACTTTTCAGCAATTATTTGGTGCAATAAAATATACATTTCATGGTGTGAAAGTGTATATATGTAAGGATATGCGTATACTTTTGGAGAAATAAGAAAGATTTATCGATTAATGAAGGTGTTTATAAAGTTTGTTTTTACCTACAGGGTAATGTAGAATAATTGTCTGATTAGAATTCAGTTTATTATATTCTTCGTTAGATGACGAACTGTCAGCCATTATTCAGTTTTATAAATATTTCTTTCACACTATTTACATTATTCGGACTATTGTCCTCATCTTAGTCTCCATATTTATTACAACGTTTCGGACGTTGTACACTCCGGCCTTCTTCAGGTGGTTGGAATGTCGAACTGAACCCTTTATTTCGCTCATTGTTCTAGTTCCACGTGCCATGTCTAATGGACGTCATTTATCTCCTGTTAATTCCCCTTTCCAAGTTCTTCACTGCTTTAACCAGGTATTGAACTCACACTCTTTGGGTCCTGTCACTGGATCTAACTAACGCCTTTATCCACTGTGCTTGAAGACATCTGTGTATGAATTTCTGGGTATTATAAACCTAATGTTATCAGCAACCATTTTTTACCATTGCTTTTTTCTGGCACTCCTTATTACTGGTTCCCATATTGTATTCATTTCTATGCTTGGTCGGCTCAGGAGATTTTTGTAGCCGATTCCTTAAGTTTACGAATTTTCCATTGGTGTTCTTTGTCTATGATCTCAACCTGATCCCACAGAGCGCGATGATCGCCCTTTTCTCTCCATATGTGGTCAACCACGCCTGATTTTTCCACTTCCCCTCGTGTTACAGTTTTTTGGTGTTCTTGAAGCCTTACCTTAAGGGGGCAGCCTGTCTCCCCTTTATATTTCTTTCTGCAGCTGCACGGGATAGTGTACACACAGTCTTTAGTCACGTTCTCTTCTATTATTACTCGGAAGAGATATCTGCGAAGTGTCGTCTAGCTTTTGAAGGTTGTCAGTTCGATATTCCAACCTCCTGAAGAAGGCCGGAGCGTTGTAATAAACATGGCGACAAAGATGAGGACAATAGTCCGAATAATGTAAATAGTGAACATAATACCTCATCTCAGAAATATAGACAGATATTGAAAGGCCGAAACGTTGTAATAAATATAGCGACAAAGATGAGGACAATAGTCCGAATAATGTAAATAGTGAACATAATACCTCATCTCAGAAATATAGACAGATACTGAAAGGACGAAACGTTGTAATAAATATGGCGACAAAGATGAGGACAATAGTCCGAATAATGTAAATAGTGAGCATAATACCTCATCTCAGAAATATAGACAGATACTGAAAGGCCGAAACGTTGTAATAAATATGGCGACAAAGATGAGGACAATAGTCCGAATAATGTAAATAGTGAACATAATACCTCATCTCAAAGGCCGAAATATAAATATGGCGACAAAGATAGGACAATAGTCCGAATAATGAAATAGTGAACATAATACCGAAATATAGACGATACTGAAAGGCCGAAACGTTGTAAAAATATGGCGACAAAGATGAGGATAATAGTCCGAATAATGTAAATAGTGAGCATAATACCTCATCTCAGAAATATAGACAGATACTGAAAGGCCGAAACGTTGTAATAAATATGGCGACAAAGATGAGGACAATAGTCCGAATAATGTAAATAGTGAACATAATACCTCATCTCAGAAATATAGACAGATACTGAAAGGCCGCCGAAAAGATGAGGACGTTAATGTAAATAAATATCATCTCAGAAATATAGACAGATACTGAAAGGCCGAAACGTTGTAATAAATATGGACAAAGATGAGGACAATAGTCCGAATAATGTAAATAGTGAACATAATACCTCATCTCAGAAATATAGACAGATACTGAAAGGCCGAAACGTTGTAATAAATATGGCGACAAAGATGAGGACAATAGTCCGAATAATGTAAATAGTGAGCATAATACCTCATCTCAGAAATATAGACAGATACTGAAAGGCCGAAACGTTGTAATAAATATGGCGACAAAGATGAGGACAATAGTCCGAATAATGTAAAAAGTTAATACCTCATCTCAGAAATATAGACAGATAAAAGGCCGAAACGTTGTAATAAATATGGCGACAAAGATAAGGACAATAGTCCGAATAATGTAAATAGTGAGCATAATACCTCATCTCAGAAATATAGACAGATACTGAAAGGCCGAAACGTTTTAATAAATATGGCGACAAAGATGAGGACAATAGTCCGAATAATGTAAATAGTGAACATAATACCTCATCTCAGAAATATAGACAGATACTGAAATGCCGAAACGTTGTAATAAATATGGCGACAAAGATGAGGACAATAGTCCGAATAATGTAAATAGTAAACATAATACCTCATCTCAGAAATATAGACAGATACTGAATGGCCAAAACGTTGCAATAAATATGGCGACAAAGATGAGGACAATAGTCCGAATAATGTAAATAATGTACATAATACCTCATCTCAGAAATATAGACAGATACTGAAAGAAACGTTGTAATAAATATGGCGACAAAGATCATCTAATGTAAATAGTGAACATAATACCTCATCTCAGAAATATAGACAGATACTGAAATATTTCTTTCATCGTAATTCTTCTTTTTTTTGCAATAGTATTATTGATACAATGAGAGCTTGGCTAAATCGTTAGAATGCTCTCTTTCCATGCCGCCCCGTATTCGAATCTCACCGTGGCCGGTATCTCAGGAAGATAACTTCTTGTAATCTGTCTGAGGGTGGCGATCGTAGCATTCGGAAAGTGCCTGAAAACCATACCCCGGTTTGACCCAAGTCTTGTGGGTGAAATTGGGAAGACGAAACTATTTGGGAGTCGTCGATGGCTAGGTTAGCACAAAGACACAAGTCATCGTGGCCGAGGTTTTGAGCGTACTGGCCTTGTTCAAACTATTGATGAAGCCAGGATGTTGAACAAGCATAAGTGTACGTGAGCAGGTGTCTGCAACGCTCTGATAGACAGGCATACTCGAATACTATAGCAAATAGTAAAAGAATTTTGAATTTTATTAAAAACTGAATCATTGCTGTTGCACAGGGTTTAGGGTGAAAAGATGAATGATATTTAGACTGTCCGCTGGAAAGTTGAAGCAACACAAACACAATACGAGAAGTGGTAAACTTTATTATTTTATTCAAACTGCCGCTCGATCCGTTTTGCTCCGAGCATTCCCGAGTGGGACCGAAAGTGTCTAAAATCATCATAATCATAATCATAACTTCTTTCCCGGGATAGCCAGTAGTTGCCTCTGTGTAGAAATCTGCTGCCTTTCAAGTGGAATTTGATTTGGGGGAAGAAGAAAAAGTCGCAAAGGGTGAAATATGAGAAATACAGTGGTTGTCCGACGTGGAGAATGTTGTGTTGACCAAAAATTGCGGCACAAGTCATGGTCTCTAATGGAAGCTCTGTGTTGCGGTAAAACGGCCACACTCTACACACTTTCCTTCCAAGCATTTATATAAACAGCGATAGATTTCATAGTCAGTCTGTGCGAAACGGCTTCACTTTACGTACATAATCTCAGTTGTCATCGAAAAAGTTCCGATATTTTTTTTATCATACCTCGTATATATATATATATATATATATATATATATATATATATATATATATATATCGTGATGGCAATGAATGCTGGAAAATTTCTTAGCAGATGAAAAGAAAAGAAGCAACAGACAAGTGATGAGAATACCACAGACGAAGCCAGTAAGCAGTTTTAAGGAAAATTGAAACAAAAACGACAATTATGCGTAAACCACAAAGAGACTATTGAAATTACTGGGACATATAATGAGAAAAAAGGCCTGGAAATTGTGATACTCCCAGGATATATGGACGGCAAGAGGGACAGAGGAAATCAGCAAGCAACCCGACCCTAACGATCTTCTGTAAGATGATGTTATAACAGGAAGTAGGAAAGAAAAAGAATAGAAAGATAAACATTGCTAAGATTTACAAAGGATAGGAAATTGTGAAGGACTATGATCGTCTACGTCCTGAAGGGACACGTCACATAGGATAAGACTGAGATTAGCTTAAGACTATAAATATAGAGTAAGCAGAGAGTACCTCACGGAGTTTAGTAAATATATAGACGATTAGAAATTTAATGAACAGACCGAGATAGATAGATAGATAGATAGATAGATAGATAGATAGATAGATAGATAGATAGATAGATAGATAGATAGATAGATAGATAGATAGTGGTTCAATATATGGTTCTAGTAAGTTGCGAGAGCGTTCCGTATGCAGTATGAGCCGCTTTCATCTTGTTGTAGTGAGCGAAGCAAAGTGTGGTAAATGTTTGAGTCTAGCCAGACACCTACTCTCAATGTGTGTCTCAAAAAGTTAAGTAAACAGTTAATAAACTGAACAGATATTTAAAACTGCGTGGCAAAACAAAATCATTAACAAAAATCGTTTGAAGCAAGAAATGAACTATATAAACCCGACATCATCTGCAGACTAAATATGTTTTAAAGGAAAGTAAGGGTTTCATATTTTTAGTAAAAGTTTAGAAATGCCAAATGCGGAATATGAGGAAAATGAACATTTTTAAAAGAAAGGCAATCAATTTAATCAAGTGCAGAATTGTTATTTTAATAGAAGTTAAGAATTACCATACGCAAAAAGATTTGAGAGTGAATCGCTTAACACATACGCAATTAATTTAATAAAGTGTTAATTGATATTCTTAGTAAAAGTTAAGAATTAACAGATGCAAAAAGATACGAAAGAGAGTGAATCGCTTAACATATACGCAATTAATTTAATAAAGTGCTCACTTGATATTGTCAATAAAATTTAAGAATGACCAAATGCAAAAAGACGCCAAAGAGAAATTTGTCATAGATTAACCTCTTTGTTGCTTGTGACGAGGATTTTTAATTTTTAATTGTCTAGGTACAGTTACGGACTAGTAAACAAGAAGGAAGTTTTTGTGTCACAGCTGTGTTATTAAAGAATCGTTATTTTGATGTTACGGATGAGTTACGAAGTAGGAAGTTTGGTGTCACGGACGAAATGACGCGTATTAGGAAATCATGGATGCGGTGTCACGGCTGAGAACACATTTTCCCAGATTTATGGACGAGATAACTCGTCTTTAAAAGAAATCAGTTATATGTTACGGATGAGATAACAACGAGTAAATTTTGAAGCACTAACTCAGTAAGGCGGCTTTACAGGTCACCCATATAGAGCCAGAAACGAGTTTGGAAATAGAATTGTGTCGCGGGCGAGTTCATACGTCTTCTCAAGTCGTTAGTTATAGACGACTTCGCAATTTATAAATTTGTATATAATGGTAGAGACTACTCGGTTTATTAAGTAGAAATACACCCTAAGCCCCAAAGCGTCTCAAAGAAACGCCTAAAAAGTGAAGGTTTCATGCCTTTTTCAAAACTAATTTGTTTGTACACTCCGGGTCAAGAGAATTTTCTCATTCTGAACGGTTATATTATATATTCAATCATGGAAATTTTTCAAATGGGTTTTCCTTCTTCATGCTTTGTCTACATAAATTTAAGCGTGTTACTAGATCGGCATCAAGGTTTCACATCTGTACTGTTTAAATCGTTGGATATACGTTGTGGTGTAACAGATGTCGGCTCGAAGTCAGAAAACGGAGATCCGACTGCAAATTCCAGTTGAATTCGTTATATTCACTTACACACGAATATCCTTGAATCCATCTCTTCTCCTTCAGGCTGTGTATTCAATAGCAGGACAGACTGAGTTCTATAGCCTTGATTGGCAACCAGCCTACCACAGAAAGAAATGGCAACCTACTACAGGAAGAAACTTCTGCCTAGTCAGTCATGGATCGAAAAAGACATGATGGCACTTAACTGACTGTTTAACTAGTTTGATACAACCGTATTTTCTATTCAAATAGTTTCTTTTCTTGAATTTATTGCCTGTAAAACTGCCGATTTCTTGCTTACCTGCTACTTACAATGTCAACCGCCATCTTGTTCTTTTATATGGTAGCGAATGCTGGACAATCTCCTCAAAGATGCAGAAACTTGAAGCAACAGAAATATGGTTCTACAGAAGGATGCTGAGAATACCATGGACTGAACATGTGGGCAACGACGAAGAAAATGGTAATAAAATAATACTTCTCTTCTTTTTTTTTTTACTAGTGTTTACCCAATAAAAGGCCTAAGTGCCACTCGAAGTAGAGGGTTAATGTTTGGTGTTGCATGACCTTAAGTGAAATCTTATCTTGGAGATATGCAGAAAATATAACAGCTTACTCTAGACTTGAAGATATCAAGATTTAATTGGTGAATAACATTTCGCCAATCAAATACCAAACCTCCTCCCCATTGCTAATGAACTAATCCAACAAAACTGTCTAAATACCCAAAAATATTATCTATAAAAAATAAAAATAAAATGCAACCTATTTCAAAACCAAACATATAGCCATGATGATGCTTGATGACAACCAAAAACAAGGTCAGGGGACTTTTTTCAACAACTTAGACCCAAATATAAAGAAACTTGCGAGAAAGCAAGAAAAAAACAGAATTAATTATTTTCTAAAGAATATTTTACTATTATTTTAATACTTTTAATATTAACCTGACGATCCGCTTAGGAAACCTTGGTAGGTTTGTCTGGATCTAGGTTTAACAGGTTCGAATCCTGTCTTTATTTAACGAATATTTTTTTTTGGGTTTTGGTCTTGGAAACAGAACGTATTTCTTGGTTCTTTCTTTTTTATACCTTTTCTTTTTGATATTGGTTTGAAAAATAAAACAACGTTTTTTCGAAACATAAATAAAAGATTACTACTTTATATAAATATATATATATATATATATATATAAGATTTAATAAACAGCAAATAATATATACATATATATATAAGATTTAAAAAACAGCAAATAATATATATATATAGATTTAAAAATCAGCAAATATATATATATATATATATATATATATATATATGTAAGATTTAAAAAACAGCAAATAATATATACATACATATATAAGATTTTAAAAAATACAGCAAATAATATATATATATATATATATATATATATATATATACATATATATATATATATGATTTTAAAAACCAGCAAATAATATATATATATATATATATATATATATATATAATGCTGTAAAAAATGCTACATTCATAAAAAAAGAAAATAACTCACTCAGAAGGAAAATCCTCGAGAGTGCCGCCATTGAATATTACCCAAATATTAAATGCAATACCCTGAATTCCTTTAGTTCTTGTCGGTGCGCCCGAGAGTGGGATTATGTGTCCTGGGCAGTTCACGGTCTCCATATACCACATAGCCCAGGCCTCTGCCTTAGAGATGTTACTGGTGTCTCAGCAACAAAAGACTGAATTTTGACCAAAATAGAATGCTCTCAAGATAAACGGATTCATACTTATTTACTTATTCATAAATTTAATATAGATAGATGTGTTGGTGTGTGTGTATGTGTGTGCGTATGTATTTATGTGTGTATGTATGTGCGTATTCTCATCAATATATTGACGTTATTGCAGGTATTGATATGCAGATATAAGGGTTCAATAATTGCAAATGATTGCTCGTTACAAATTATGCCATGGAATATTTCCGACGGGTGGTTGGTGCGAACAATAAATTATTGTCATTATTGCATCTTCTGCAATATGGTTTAATTCAATTCAAAGTAAAGATACGCGAAAAGGAGAGAAAATCATTGAAAATTAAAAAAAAAAAAACGTGTGTGTGAGAGAGAGAGAGAGAGAGAGAGGATCTACATGATTACAGATCACGTGATTATTTTTCTCATCGTTATTCTGTGTGCGTGAGCAAGAAACAGAAGGTGTGTACATTTTTTATTGTTTTCATTTGTTGATTTGTGCGCTGCACTCAGCCAATCAGCGATTTTCTGATGCGCTTACGGCGTCATAATGGATACCAATTGCGGCAAAATTAAAAATGGGAAGCGAAAGACGTGTTAAGGAAGGAGAGGAAGGAAAAGATGAAAGAAGAAGAATCTAGAAATGAAGAGGAGGAAAGTAAGAAGGAGAAATGGGGAAAAGAAAGGACGAAAAAAAGGAAGGGTAACACTAAGAAAGAAAGAAAGAAAGAAAGAAAGAAAGAAAGAAAGAATAAGAAGGCGGAAGAGAAAAGGAGGAAGGAGAAAAAGAGACAAATCTAGAAAAGTATAGAATGTGTGGGTTAAAGTAAGAACGAAAAAAGTAAGAAGAAGAAGAAGTGTCAAATTTAGAAAGAAAGAAAGAAAGAAAGAAAGAAAGAAAGCGGGAAATAGGAGGGAGAAGAAATAAAAAGAAGGAAAGAAAGAGAGAAAGTAGTAGTAGTAGTAGTAGTAGTAGTAGAAGAAGAAGAAGAAGAAGAAGAAGAAGAAGAAGATTAAAGAAATGAAAAGAAAGTAATCACAGACAATATGGAAGAAGGAAAAGAAGAAGAAGAAGAAGAAGAAGAAGAAGAAGAAGAAGAAGAAAATTACCATGGAGGAAACGATCAGCTCAAGAAAAAGAATAAAGATGCAGAAAAGTATCAGAATATCAAAAGATGATCCTGTATATTGTCTTGACTCGAGTTACAATATTCACCCCCCCCCACGCCACCTCTTATTTGACTTTGATACACATTACAATAAAAGAAAGGATTAAAGGGAAAGCAACATCGGGTAATAAGAACATCCTCCCCTGCAAAAGAAATGAACATAAATTAACACAGGCTCAACTAGTTCAATCCTTACTTGTGGCTTAAATATATTGGCAACGTGAAGAAATGGTAAACAAACTGGCCTTTCATTCCTTCGACATTTAATCCAATTAATACTAGGTCAGCCATAATGAGGGTCGTATGCTGAACTAAACTACGGTTTGTATTATAAACATTTTTTTTTATAAATGTTCTGCTGTGGAGCTTTGGTCAGAAAGGTAATAATTAATTGAAATAATTAATTGAAATAATTAATTGAAATAATTAAAAGTGTAAAATAAAAGACTAAAGAGATGACAATGAAGTTAAAAGTTGATGATGAACGAAGGGAATCAGGAAACGGGAGAAGGAGCAAATAGAAGGAGAATGAAAAAGTGGTTGATAAAAGGAACCAGAAGAGAGAAAATAATAAAAGGAATGATGACAGAGAGAGGGGTTGAATGATGAAAGAGAAGGGTTATGATGAAAGAGGGAGAGAGACAGACAGACAGAAAGGGAGGGTTGGTAAGAGAGAGGCTAATGAAAGAAGAAGAAGAAGAAGAAGAAGAAGAAGAAGAAGAAGAAGAAGAAGAAGAAGAAGAAGAAGTGGGTTGATAAGAGAAAGGGAAGAAGAAAGAGGTCGTAATGCAAGAAAAGAGAAAGAAGAAAGTGAATAATGAGAGTGAGGAACGAAGAAAGTGGGTTTGGAGGAAAGAGAAAAATGAAAGAAAAGCGTGTTAAATGAGAAGAAAAAGGAGAATAATATTTTGATTTATTGATTTGTTTTTTACGGTTTATCAACCTTTTGCAAGTTATTTAAAGCCAGATATTTTTAGATCGCAAATTTTTTTAGAGATAATAATAGTTTTATGATACAAGTCTTACTATCCCATTGTGAGGGGAAAGAAATGGTTTCGTTCCTTTCCCAAGGGCATCTGCGCGTAAGGGAACATAACGAAACTAACGGAAATTGGAACTCGTTTCTCTAATTAACAATTCCGAGTCATTATCTATTACACCAACCGCACATCCATGCTTACAGCACGTGATATACCAAAGCGGTCATCCATTTAGGTACTGACCAGCGTTTGAGTTCGGTGAACGTGATGCGGTCATAAGCCAGGAGGATAATGAGCGAGGGAAGAAGAGAGTTAATGAATAATGGTGGGGGCATGGCAAAAGGAGGGGGGAAATGAAAAGAGTGATGATGAAGAGAATGACGTGGAGCATGCTGACATAAAAGCGTAAAAGAAACAAAAACGAAAAAGCCTAGAACGTATTTTGACATCTATCTATATTTCTGAGATTGTAACTATTTACACTATTGACATTGTTTAGACTGTTGTCATCTTTATTGTCATATTCGCGACGTTTCGGCCCTTGTACGTTGCGGCGTTCTTCAGGTGACATACATTAGAATTTCGAACCGAACCCTTCATTTCAAACACTGAGGTAGATTGTTCTAGTTCCACGCACCATGCATTTTTCTGGATATATCAGTTTCAGTTATTTCCATTTAGTGACTCAACTCTCATGGACAATGAGATATCCTGCAAAGGCTTGGCATGTGGAACTAGAACAATCTACCTCAGTGGATGAAATAAATTGTTCGGTTCGAAATTCCAATGTATATGACCAGGCAGAAATTTCTATTTAAATTGAATGATGACAGAATTACAACAACAAAAAAAAAAAACCATTATGAAATCTCACAGGCACTGAACAAAAGAAAATAAATAATTCCATTCCTATATAAATAAATATATAAATGTTAGTGTATGTTACGTACATAGCAGTATGTATACGCCTACACAGAGAAGCACACGTACACACGCATGCATATACATAGGCATTCACACATATAGTATCGATATATCTTAGTGTTTTATTATATATATATATATATATATGTGTGTGTGTGTGTGTGTGTGTGTGTGTGTGTGTGAGTAGTGTGACAGATAGTGGCTCGAAATGAAAAATCGAAAAGCTGCGTTCTAATAGAGTACAGGTAGCATCCACTTACGCGTAGATGACCTTGGGAGAGGTATGAATCCATTTCCTCCCCAGCTATGGATTAAATAGTAGGATTTTTATCTGGAAGAAACATTGTTAAACAAAGATATATTAAATCGTAAAAAAAGAAGAATTGTGCGGTTGCAAATTGTTTTGGCTTTAAATAAAATACATAGGGTGGATAAACTGTAAAACATCAATCGACTAATATATATATATATATATATATATATATATATATATATATATATATATATATATATATATATATATATATATATATATATATAATTATGAAAGTGGAGACCTTAGAAACCCATGGTAATATCTTATTTCGCAAAACCGATACTTCGGTTTCGTCTCATCAGACCACAAACAGTTTCGACAATATGACAAATCAGTCGGGTTTCGATCCTGGCTTGAGGCAATCTCATGTTTAGCCACACTGATGAGCTGTTTCAGTGTGGACATAAGAAGCAACACCGCATAGTGACTATCAGTTTCAAGACTAAATGCGAACTTTAGAAAAAGTCTGGCTTGAAGTTTACATTGAGGCATGAAACTAACCCATATAACGTCGATTCACATGACTACACTGTCTCTCTATAAATATGTCTGTCGATGGATTTTGATATACAGGGTTTAACAGCAAAATTGTCCAAATCGTGCAACGGCGTGGGATAATTATCCATATAAATATCAAAAAAAAAAAAAAGCACGAAACAAATTGATTTTCTTTTTTTCATGTTTTTATATCAGACGTTTAGCCATCTTGGCACCATTTGTCGTAAAAATCACTGAAAAACCTTGAGTTATTCAGTTAGAATAAGAACAGGTTCAAATCATTTTGTGTCATCCTCACTATGTCTTCCCAACTGAGCAATGATGAGACGAAAATGATCATTCAGGCCTTCAGTAATGATACCAGTATACGAGTATTCATACTCTGGCTTCCATGTTCAAAGTTCATTCAGGAAGCATCAAGAGAACGGTGAATAAGTTTTAAAATGGAGGCAACAGTAGAGAGGAAAACAAGATCAGGAGGTCATAACAGGAAGAGGGATCATCATTTCAATTTAGAGCTAAATACATTCTTATTCTTCAAACTAGAGTCCAATAGTGTTATAAAAATCCTCGGAGAATTCCAGTAAGCTATCTTTAATCATTTCTAAGTTACAAAGGTTCAAATCTTAATCTAATAATTCCACAATTTTGCTGTTACACGATTTGGACAATTTTGCTGTTACACCTGGTATCTAAATACATATATATGTGTGTGTGTCTGTGTGTGTCTATTTGTTTTATGTGTATGTGTGAGGGTAGCATTATATGTGCTCCTTAATGCACTATTGCTACCATACTATTAACATACATACATATTTATGGCCGACTACAAGTTCTCGAGCATACCCACCAGCTTGTGTAGTTAGTTAATCCCTTTCGCAGGTGCTTGTTCAGGCACATCTGTGTTTGTTCACAACTACGTCCTCCACCATGCGGTTTATACAGTAACTAAACTGAACAGACCTTAGTTACAGTTTGTGGAAAAGAGATCATAATATAGGGTCGTTTGAACAAAGTCTGCTCAAATCCTCGGTCACGATGACTTGGGACTTTGTGCTAGCACAAACATAGGCAACTTTCGTTTTGTCTAACAAATTTTACTTGGGTTTCGGGTACTTTACAATGACCCCCGCACACTTCCTCAGGTCGATAACATCAAGAAAACGGTACCCTGACGAATCGAACCCGGATCGCAGGGTCGTAAAAAGACCATTTTAACACATGTCCATGTATACAAATCTTTGCATCACTTTAGTTTCAGCGGATCTTATGCCTGAATCTAATTCCAATATTATTCACTAAATATAAATATATATATATATATATAAAAATTGCACACATACACACACACAAACACACACACACACACACACACATATATATATATATATGTGTGTGTGTGTGTGTGTGTGTGTGTAACTGTGTGTATCTAACTGCATTCTTTAGAAAATGTTTACTTCCATATATAATATTATTAGCGTCCATCTTAGCCTGCATACACTTAATGCGTTATATATATATATATATATATATATATATATATATATATATATATATATATATATATATAGATATATATATATATATATATAAATGCATTTTACTACATCATAAATATTATCTCCAAAATTAAAATAATCCTATTTACTTAGGTGTATATGCATATTTAATGAATTCATACTGTATCTATAAATGCAGAAACATTCCATCAGTTATGCACATCTCTTTCTCTCTCTCTCTCTCTCTCTCTCTCTCTCTCTCTGTATATATATATATATATAGGCTTTTATTGCGTAAAATATTTATACATATACTCATGCATATATATTTGTGTGTGAGTGTTTGCATATTTAGATATGTGTGTGTGTGTATTTACCTGAAATGCATACATATAAAGATGCACACACACACACACACACACACACACACACACACACACATATATATATATATATATATATATATATATATATATATATATATATATATATACACACATATAATTCAATCAATGAATGCATTCGCTGGGCGCTTCAGCATTTAAAAAGTTTTTTTCTACTCTTGCTTCCTATTTTTCTAATCCAATCAAGACTCTTACATTCCATGACGTCAGAATCAATCTTTTCATTTTAATCCAATCAGGTAGTGCACTCGCCGTGACGTCAGATTCAATCTTTTCATTTTAATCCAATCAGGAAATACATCCACACTGACGTCAGAACGTTCACCTGACGCGCTTTCTTGCACACCAGATTTTTTTCCCTTTTATTGGTTTTTATCTTATTTTATTTTACTTTACTTTTTTTTAGCTTATTTAATCTATTTATTATAGTTTTACTCCATTGCTTTTATTTCGTGCCTTTCCTCTCCTGAACAAAATGTCCGCCGATATTTGAGTAATTGCTTTTCAGTCGAGAAACGCATTATCACACAAGGGAAACTTATTTGGGCGTACATAATGGAAACTTCCGAGCAAATTTCATTTTGATACATTTATTCATTTACTTCGTATTTTTTCCGAAAAATGGGAATGATTAAACAATTCGGAAACTATTCCTAATGAGTAAAATTAGTGTAAAATATAAGAGAATCCAAAAAAAGCTTTCCCTTTTCAAACATCATAGATTCTATTGAATGTTTCTTTCATAACAGCGACGATATCCTTAACGATGAGAATAATACATATGAGAAGTAAATAATAGTGTTGAACGGGCATTAAGTTTACGGTAGTAGCTATAATATACGGTGCACTTGAACTGTGCCAAAAATAGAATAATGATTCGATGTGTCGGAAATTTGAAGAATAATTAACACTAGTCCAAAGTGTTACTGGTGTTTGCAAAGATACTGAGGAAGGTACTGAAAATTTGAGGAGAGGATCTAATTCAAACTCCAGCGATGGGTACCATATATCTTGTGTGAAATAAAATGTAAGAATTCATAATAAACTTATTGTGGTTCTGGTAAACTTCGGTGTTATACTGAAAGAAAGTAGACAAAAATTTGAAAATATATCACAAACTTATGAGACAAATAAACAAATTTTAGAACGCAAACATGACAGTTAGGCTCATAATTATTGAAGTACTTGGCACCGTTATACAAAAACTGGTAAAAAGGATGGAAGAATTTAAGAATATGTGAAAAAAGAATATGGAGGAAAGTGGTAAGTTGTTGAAAAGACATGTTGTTACTTGATCCGCAGTAAAATTCACATGTGAAGATAATCACTACAAATGCGATGTTGATAAGAATATTCATTACAACAGATGCAGAAATACTTACATCAATAATGATCAAAAAAATATTATTTGATAATGCTATTTATCCATCACTAAATAGGAAATGAAAGCAACAGTTATGGAATTGCAGTTTTCTCCCAACTGAAATAATTGTTGGATTTCCCTCAGCTTCTAGATTTTATTAATGCAACGACTTAATAGCACTCCCCTTAGACAAATTAGATAGACTTTGGTAACTGTAATGGTAATGGCAACATTCATTGACCGAAAAGGTAACCTTACTGTTCGTTCAAATTTATCAAATCTTTTATATAAATCAGTTTTTCAGGAAAGTCTTTTTCTCAAGTGCATTAACTGTTATAACTCTTTCTAGTATTGATGGCGGTTTCCTTCCTAACCTTTTTGTTTACTTTATTATGGAAAGTTAGCATCTTGGTTATCTAATAATTTTCCCTTCGAGTTACATATACTATCCATTTTAATAGATGCTGTTATTCGAAGTCCCCAAGTGGAGCGGTTTCTGTTAATTGGTACAGTTCTTTGGTTTGTGATTCTGTAGCACAAGTCGATGAGTTTCGAAAAGGGATGGTTTTCTCTGAGAGTTACAGGCTTCATTCGCGAGAAGCCATTTTAATTATTGATCTCTGGGAAAGCGGATATATATAGTTGATTTGATTAGATATTTCTGAGCGGTTTCGGCGCCATCCGTGACATCGGCATGCGAATCACGCCCTAAAGATGTTATCTTAGAACCTGATTCAAGTAATGTTTTGGTTTTCTTACAGCTTGTGGTGTTAGGCAAAATTACTCTTAGTACAGCATATTCTATGTTCCGTTTCCTTATCTCCTACACCAAATTTGTTATAATATATTTTCAAAGCACCATGTCAGATTTTATTATCAAGAAAAATTTGATGCTTGGTCATTTCTGGGAAGTGAGTCGGGTCGAAAACATTTTCTCACCCACCTCGGATATACCGTATATACACGTGTATCATGCGACTTTTGAAGACCTTATTTTGAAGTTAATTCTAAGAGGGTCGCATCCTACACTAGATATAAAATTAGCGTATGTACTGATGGCCCTTGTTATGCCGTTGACTAAACTATATATCCATTTATAGTCAAATTAGCTTCAAAATTAGGTCTTCAAAGCTCGTATGGTACGCGTGTATATACGGTATACATATATATCATGGCTAATATCATGGCTAATATTGACTATTATGGTCTTGACGAATTACATATATGCGGTGGTTTTATTTTCTTTCGCAAAATAAGATTTCCCCTTCCTATATAAATTTATACATATATATAAATAATAAAAATAATAATAACTAATTTTAACTTTAGTTTTGCCTATTTTAATATTCTGAAGAATCTTATTCTTAAGTTAATGATTGAGTAAGCTCATATCGAGTTCTACGACAATAAAATATCCGTAGAAATCGTTAAATATTTCAGTTTATAAAATTTAACAAAATATTGCAATAACGATCATAAATATGACTGCTGGCCGTTATTTTAAGAAGTGGGTACAAATGATAAAATTTAAAAATGGCAACTTTTTTTCCATTTCACTGAAACAACCGTTAAACACTGCTAATTTATTGACAGAAATTCTGTTCACCTTCATATACACTGAATTATAAATATTTACGTGATTTGCGTGAGAAGGCGTGCCAAAGGTACTACTTGGTTTCTCACTGAGGTATTAGCAAGGCGTAATGGTCGGGCGAACTAACGAAGAGCGGTACAAGCACAATTATAAAAAGATAATAGCAATACCTATTAATATACGTAAATATTTATAATTCAGTGTATATGAAGGTGAATTTCTGTCAATAAATTACTGCATAGTTGTCTAGAGCAAGGCTTATTGTATCAGAAATAGTTCGTAATATTTATCGGAGGTCATCTCAGAGTTTCGTGTTTCGTCACTCGTGTGAAGAATGGCTCTATTAAATATTACAGTTGTCAACGTTTTACTATGGAAAGGCATCATCAGAACAATTGTAAAAATCTATGAAAAAGATCGTTAACACGGCAACTTCCCACTACTTAGACACGCTGTGGTTAATTTGAAAAATTTTAACAGTTAATAAAATTTGTGATCATAGGAACTGGTAACATTCACTTTCACATCTCAGATAGTTCTGTCTATACGGCGGAGACACGATAAAGTTAATGTATTCTTCTACTTCTATGTACCGTGTCCCTTCAGGACGTTGGTGATTATGGCTCTCCACAATTTCCTGTCTTGTTCCATGTCTTTTTGCCATCTCTCCCAAACCCTGATCTGTCATCCATTCGCTCAAGATCGCCAGATACACTTTTCGTTACTTTCCTTTGTCCCTCTTAGATAGATAGATAGATAGATAGATAGATAGATAGATAGATAGATAGATAGATATAATCACTCAGCATTTATTATGGTCTAATAAATGGACATAAGATATTATTCAGATATGTATTTGCATCGAGATCGGCAGCCATATAAATCTCTTAATGCATTTCTGCGCATGCGTTGTTGGAAGCGGAACCTTATTTCACTGGCGATGGAAATAAAATCACTTAACAACTACCTAAGCTACCCCGAGAGCTTCATATAAAGACAACAATGGCTTTGATTAGAAACATTAAAGGTGTGAGATTAGGGGGCTTCATTAATATTTAACTGTACACTCACCCGTGGACCTCCTTAACTAGACATGTCCACTTTCTTCTGTATTTACTCTCAATTTCTATTCTCTGTCTATTGCTTACTCATCCTCTCATTGTTCGTTTATTTTTACTCTCTATCTCATCTTTCTTTCTTATTTCGCTTTGTCCTTTCTTTTTTTTTTTTTTTTTTTTTTTTCTTTCTTATCTTTCTGGAAAATTCTTTCTCTTTACTTTAAAATTTGTTTTTATCTTTAATTTTTTTTTCGAATTCCGCAAAGAATTCTTTACTTCTTTCTTTCTGTTTTTTTATGTTTTAGAAAAAAAATTTTAGCAGTGTTTAACGGCTATTTCAGTGAATTGCTATTTTCTATATATATTTCTATCAAATCATATTTATACATTTTTTTAATCTTTTATTTATCTAAGGACCGCCCCCCACCACCTTATAATATCCTTCTTATTTTCTTTTTAATTCTTTTCCTTTTTTTTCTTTCTTCATTAATGTCGTTCTTTGTTACCCTTTTCTTTTCTTTTTACATTATATTTCCATCCTTCGTTTTTTATTGCTTCTTTTTTTCTGCCTTTTCTTCCATCTTTGCCTCCTTTATTTCTTGCCTTACAGGCACATCACGCTAAAACACTGGTTCTCGTACGATCACAAAGTTAAGTAACGTCGAGCCACATCAGTACCTGGATGGGTGACCAGGAATACGAGGTGTTGTAAGCTTGAATGTGCGCGTGGTGTAATGGAAGTGGAAAGCTGAGTTCGAATTCTAGTGCTGTTCATTATATTCGCTTACAAGTAAATATTTTTGGGAAAGATATGAATCCGACTATTCTGTCCCACCTATGGGTTAATTAGTAAGACTTGTATCAGTAAATCATTATTATCTCCAAAACATTCTGACAATCCAAAAGAATTTTCTGGCTTTAAATAGCTTGCAAAAGGTTGATAAACCGTAAAAAGCAAAAACAACTCTATCTTACTTTTATTTTGTTTTCATTACTTCTTTTTTTCTTTCCATCTTTCGTTCTATCTTTTTATAATTTCTTTTTCAGGGTCCTCCTTTCAGTTTTCTTAATAGGTTATCACTTTATTTCCTCCGCACTTCGATTCTATCATTTTTTTATGTTACTTTGTTTTTGTTTTTGTTTTTTTTTTTTTTGGAGGGGGGTTCAGGGCCCATTTCGTTTTCTTATTTCTTTCTTTCTCTCCCTCTCACTCTCTCTATTCTCTTTCTTCTCCCTCACCCCACTCTCCTATCTCTCGCTGTTTTTTTTCTCTCTAGTATATTTTCTCGCTTTGTTTTCTGTTTCTTCTCTCCCTCTTTACTTTCTCTTATGAATCCTCTCTTTCTCTTTCTCTCCACTCTTTCTCTCTTATGCCATTCTTAATCTTTCCTCCCACTTTTCCCAACACTTACTTCTTTCTCTCTCTCTATTCTCTCTTTCTCTCTTTCTACTCACTGACTCCACTCTCTTATCGCTCTAGTTTTTTCTCTTTCTTCTCTTCCCTCTCTTTCCCTCTTTACATTCTTATATGACGCCTCTCTCTTTCTCCTTCTCTACCCTTTTTGTCGTTCGCACTTTCTCCTCTCCCATCATTCTCCTACACTTTCTTCGCTCTCACCCACTATATTTTCTCTCTTCTTCCTTTTTTCTTTCTTCTCTCTCTCTCTCTTCCTTCTCCTTCTCCTTTTTCTTTTCTTTCTTCTTTTTCTCTGTTCCTCCCACTCTCTGTATTTTCTTCTCTTCAATTTTTTCTTTCGTCTTTAATTAAACGAAAAGACTGTTTCGACTTTTGAAAAGGTAATATTTCAAAGTTACCGCCTCCAAGGTACGAATGCCTTGAAAATCTACATTTGAAACCAGTGACAACACTGGTTTCGAACGCCTGTTCTTTGGAATAGTTGATGCGCACAGGCTCATAAAATAACGAAAAGGGCGTGACATTTGGGACATTTATGTAATCATGTTTGGATAGGCCTGTTTGGTGCGGAATTGAACCAATGACCTGGAATCTAGTCTAGGGACAAGTATATCAACGCCCTCGTCATGTTTTATGAAGAAAAGCTGAGACAAGCTAAGAGACAGAAACGAAACGCTTAAGAAAAAAAAAAAAAAAGAAACATCATCTAGAATGTCTTTCTTCCCTTTCCAGCTGGTGAGTTGGTATTCGCCCGCGTACTCCTCCCTAAAGATGACCCCGACATCACCATAATGATTAATTTTATCGAGAACTTTCGCCCGTGCTTCGTCCATCAGTGAACCGAAGACAAGTTCTTCATCTTTCATTTCGGGTCAACTGAATGAAGGAAGATAAAAACAAACAGAATGTGCGTAAAAATTCCCCACGAATAACAAATGGTCCGGCCTTTAAAAAAGAAAAGTTAACATCAGAAGGGATACATTGGCGGAAGGTTCATAGGTCCAATGTTATATCATTTTAAGTGACATTTTGTTTTGTTTCTTGAGAACTGGGAGAGTTTATAACGGGTTTATTTATTTCTTCATTCAGTGGAAGTGGTTCTTTGACTCTTGATGAAAATCTGGCAGAATATTTCGCAAATGAATCACCAACGATCAGGTGAATATTAAATGAATGTCGTATACGGGATATATATAAAAGCGACAGACCTTAATCAACCATCTTTGTAAAAATCCACTTCCCCAAATCTATATACGAGGTCTGTCAGAATAGTAAGGAGAATAGGTAGGCTGTATGAACTATGGCCGAAAGAGGGATAAGCGGATAGGATTATCAACTAAAATGATATCTTGGGAGATATCTAATAACTGTAATCTTAACTTTTGCAAACATTTCATTTTTTTTTTCACATGCTGTTGTAGCAGGACAAATGATGGCTGCTTCACCTCGACAATGCAGCTGCTCACAACGCCATGCGACAGTTCCTTTGTGAGCAAAAAAAAAAAACTCGTCGAACTGGAACAACCTCTTATATCTTTTTTTTTTTTCTTTTCTTCAAGCTCAAGAGAATCAGCAAGGAGACCCATTTTGAAGACGTGTAGACTATCAAGAGGGCCGTAACGGCAAAGCTGAGGCCCCCCCATCTAAGAAGAATCCTTCCAGCGGTGCGTAAAAGCGTGTCAACAAATAATGGAAAAGTGCATTACACTCAAGGGAGCTTACTTTGAAGGGTTTGTTGTTTGGAATTGAAATAAATTGTTCATGGCACCAGCCACGTTACTTTCTTTTTCAGAGAAACATCGTACATACATATATATATATATATATATATATATATATATATATATATATATATATATATATATATTAGTGGTCAATATATATATATATATATATATATATATATATATATATATATATATATATATATATATATATATATATATATATATATATATTTCAAGAGGATAGAATCCAGGTAGAAATCAATGTCAATTTTTAACACCGAGGATTGAAGAAATAAAATAAAATAGTAACTTAAAATTTTTAAATGGGGCAATTTCATTTCTATTTGATGCAATTTATTTATTTATATTTGCTCTGTTATAATAAATACATTGAGCTCTCTTTTGTGGATCAGTTTTAATATTTTATATTATTAGATTCACTTGGATTATATACCAAAGGTTTATTACAAATATATATATATATATATATATATATATATATATATATATATATATATATATATATATATATATATATATATTTGGGCAGCAACTTTTCTTTGACACATGTTTTGTTAAATATAACAAGGAAACTTTGATGATTTTTTTATTGAGTTTTTCTAGTCCTATTAAATTTTTCCGTTGTAATTTTTCGGTAAAGAAGTGTAAGAAGTTAGTGATATCTCATGTGATTTTGTATAATTTTTAATGGGATTCCAAATAAATATGTTCATGTATGTGTTTGTGTATTTAACATTTCCTATAATTATAGAGGAAATGTTCTCAGTATGAGAGATAGCTACTTTACTAATATAGAGAGTGTAGCCATAGGAATCAACATTGTCAGTGATTGTCAGTTTCAGGCTTGAATGCAATCTTCAGAATAAAGTATCACAACTCCTTTAGCTGGATGCTGATATAGTAGGTTATGTATATAAGTCACTGGGAAATTAAGGGAAGTGGGGGGTGGGAGCGTACACTAGAAATGGTCGATTTCCTATTCCCTTATTTCTCTCCAGTGATTACGTAATAAGGATGTTAGCAATTTCAGCACAGGAATGAAGCGATATAATCTACCAAATTTAGTCTAGCATGACAAAAGGCCTCATATGTCGAGCTAAATTCTGTAATAACAGCCTACGTAAAGAATTTCCTGACTACTGTTCAAGGGCGAGACAAGAGATTTCGCCGTCTTGTGAGACAACATTTGGTGACGTAAGAGATTTTTTTTTTCTCACGTTTCGGCTTGAATTGGGGAAAATATTCCGGATCTCTTGGGAGGAATTGCGTCATGAAAATATCCGCATAGCACTCCAAAGTTGGAAATATAAATCTTAATATCTATGAGTAACTCTCTCAGCAATCTTTCTATACAGATCGATTACAGGTCGATTACAGCACTTTTTCGTTTTTATGCGTAATTTAAAATATTTTTACATATTCTGTAGTTGCGAAAAACTAGACTCGTTTTACGCGTTCATATATCCTGTATATATTTGTATTAATTTATAACTGGTAAAAGTCTAACAGCCAGAATCATACTGTGTATAATTTTTGGATCAAGAGGAATTTTCTAGAATAATATATATTTTGTTTCATTTTAGAAAATTTAAATGTCTACCTATTCTCTGTTAAACTGATTTATCTTTCACAGTAATAGTTACCGTTTGGAACTGTTTGGTATAAGACTATAATTTTTTTTTTATTAGAAACATCCAGACAAAAAATATCTGATTTATCTTTCACAGTAACAGTTACCGTTTGTAACAGTTTGGTATAAGACTATAATTTTTATTTTATTAGAAATATTCAGACAAGAAAATATCTGAGTACTTTCAAAATGGCATTTGATGAAGAATGTTTCCCAGAATAGGTTTTCTTCTTTTTATAGGGTTGCATATTGAAATGTTTTCTGTTGCCGGTGTTTTAATATGAAGTGAATGAGTTTTATTAAAACTTGCTGTTTTGTCTTTCTGCTTCCTGAAATGCAAATATGTGAATTAAGACACAGAAATGCAGCTATGGACCTTTCTCTCCGACTAAAATGGTATTGTAATGGGAATGGTTTAGCTAATAGGCAATTAGCATAAAGAGGGCTATAACTTTAGCTCACGGGCAACTTTGAGTCAGTGTACGTAGAATATCTACAGCTACTAAGTTTGATCATCATAACAAAATGGCGTCGCCTGACGGAGCTCTGCTGAACACAGAAGAACCTGAAAACGTAAAGATTTAAATAAAATGCTTTGAGATACGTGCCAGAATAAAGAAGTGGCGAGATGACCAAACACCTGGAGGACAGAAAGAAATCACGGATCTATTTTTGGCTGGGGTTACCCGGCTGAAATTGAAAACTTGACCTTGAAGGAAGTCAAAGAAATAATATTGATAAATCTTCACCCCTCCCCCAACCCCCCAAAAAAGATTGGCCATAACCGAACGAACCAAATTCTTAGCATTAAAACGACAATTTGGGGAGCCTATAAGGAAATATCTAAGAAGATTAAGAGATACCAGCAGATATTGTGAATTTCATGGACTAAATCAAGGTACCCCATGACAAGAAATACACATGAAACAGGTGAGAGGGGGGATGTAGGAGAAGCTATAGATCGACACAGGGCGGGAAACCCAAAAGATTCAGGGAGCTGTAATGGATTGGTTTAACTAACAGGTAATTAGCATAAAGAGAGCTATAACTATAGCTCTCGGGCAACTTTGAGTCAGGGGACGTAGAATATCTACGGCTATTAAGTTTGATCATCATAACAGGTATATTTAATATATATATATATATATATATATATATATATATATATAGTTCAGATAACGGAAAGCAATTCATTTCGTATGAATTTGAATTTTTTCTAATATGAAGCTATTGAACGCATGAGCAAACTAATGAAGTATACAGATATAGAGGTTGAAGTAATACAGGAAGATTGCATTGTACTAGGAGTACATAGGTTGGCCTATCGCCCGATTGACACTCCTCCCGGTCTTTTGAACAGGAGTAGAGGTTTATCCTTTGTTTGCGGTTTAGGATTGGGTTTCCGGTTTTTTCTAAAGATTTTCCATCTCTTTCATTTCCGGTAGCCTCTTTCCACTGTGGTAGTATCTCCTTGCTTGGTTGTTGCCTGCCTCTTACTCTTTAATTTTCTAGCTCGAGTGGCTCTTGAGTCTTGAACAGGTTGGCAAATCAACAATCGAATCGTTGTTTTTCACTGGATTTAATGTATATATGAAAGAGTAAAGCGTGAGGGAGTCAAAACTGAGAGGGGGGGATTAGAAAGCGAGGGATAGAGAAACTATGATGAAGAGAGTGAGATACTGAGACAGAGATTATGAGAGAGAAACACACGAAACAGACTAGCGCAAAGACACAGAAAGACACAGAAAAATTGAGAAACAGACAGAAAGGAAGACAATCTGAAAGAAACAGACAGAAAGGGAGACAGTGTAAGAGAAAAACAGGCAGGAAGGGAGACAGTTTGAGAGAAAGAAACAGAAAGAGAGAGAGATTAAGAGAAATAGGCAGAAAGAGAAACAGTGAGAGAAACCGACAGAAAGGGGGACAGTCTGAGAGAAACAGACAGAAAGGGAGTCAGTCTGAGAGAAACAGAGAGAAAGGGAGTCAGTCTGAGAGAAACAGGCAGAAAAGGAGTCAGTCTTCGAGAAACAGGCAGAAAGGGGGACAGTCTAAGAGAAAAAGACAGAAAGGGAGACAGTCTGAGTGAAACATATTGAAAGGGAGACAGTGTGAGAGAAACAGACAGAAAGGGGGACAGTCTGAGAGAAACAGATAGAAAGGGAGACAGTCTGAGAGAAACAGACAGGTTGTTTGAAATTGACAAACGGAGAGATATAGAAAGATGGACACAAAGAGCCTGAGGAAGACAAACTGAAAAAAAAGCGATAGAAACGGCCATGTCGAAAAAACAAAAAGAAAAACAGAGGAAAGAATAACAAAAAAAAGGTGGCATTACGTTAAGTGATAATATAGAAATACAAAGGTACAATTAAAAAAATGCAACTTAAATACTTATATAACCTCTCTCATCAGAGCTAAATTGAGAACGAGAAATATGCACAGAGAGGAAAACAAACATCCAAGAGCGGATGTTATGTAATAAATACATAACAGCATAAAGACTAATTATATTTTAGCTTAACAACGACTCTTTCTGCTTACAGGGTGATGGCTGACAGGACTTAATATAAGTAGATCTAATACGTTCAAGTGAAAATCAGTGTAAGCCTTTCTCAGTACCGAGAACAGATCTTGGCACCAGGTGTGGGGGGGGGACCTGTTTGGTCTCCACGTGCAGTGCATTGTGAACCTCGCTATCTTATCAACATTTGCTTTTTTCTGTCTACATTTATATGTTACAAATTTAACTAAACTGACTGGTAAAGGATGAAAATTCTTGACTCATTTTTTTTATCCAAATCCGCGAATTCTTTTGCTCATGTTATTTTTCGAAAAAAACATATAAAATTCACTACTTTTGATCCATAATGACGAATTTGTTAACTTATTAAACTTTTTAACAAGAAAAATCTCAAGTTGTTGTTAAAAACTTCGGCAAAACATTGTTGATTTTTTAATATGAAATGAAATTATCAGGTCACTAATTTGTATTTAGATATATTGTATTTATTTTTCAATTTTTTAGTTGAATTGTTTACCTTTTTTGCATATGATCCATTACTGTACATAATTAGGTTACAATAAAATTTATATTTTATATGAATACTTCCTTATTAAAATTGTGATGAAGTAGAGTGTGAGGCCGTCTCGTAGATTCGTAGGGGCGTATCATAGATTCGGTGGAGGACCACGAGACCCTTGAACCGGCCCTGCGGGTCACATTGATGATTGTTCAATAAAGAATTAACCATCGCCGAACCAGATGCGTTGATGCGCTTGAGCAAAATGACTACATTGATTTGGACAGAAATCGATATATGTGTAGATCGAAATAAATTTTAGATTGATCGATTGAAGAAACAGAATTACAAAGATAGGAGGAAATGATGAACATTCCTCTGTTCGATTAACTTCTTTTTTTAACATTCCTCTGTTCGATTAACTTCTTTTTGAACATTCCTCTGTTCGATTAACTTCTTTTTTAACATTCCTCTGTTCGGTTAACTTCTTTTTTTAACATTCCTCTGTTCGATTAACTTCTTTTTGAACATTCCTCTGTTCGATTAACTTCTTTTTTAACATTCCTCTGTTCGATTAACTTCTTTTTTTAACATTCCTCTGTTCGATTAACTTCTTTTTTAACATTCCTCTGTTCGATTAACTTCTTTTTGAACATTCCTCTGTTCGATTAACTTCTCCAAAAACATAGCGTCATTTCTACACACAGACGCTAAGAATACAATCTACCGAACACATCAAGTGATTGGAATTTTGAACTAAACCATTTATTTTGTCAACCGGGTTAGATTGTTCTAGTTCCACGTTTCATGCCTCTTCTGGATATCTCAGTATCAGTCATCTCACTTTAGCTCAACTCTCCAATTTTTTCATCTGTGGCCAGTTATTGAACTCACAACTCTTTGGGCCAAGTCACTGAACCGAACCAACGATTTTATCCACTGGTACTGAAGAAGGCCAAGGCGTAAAACAGCCGAAACGTTGTGGACATGGCAACAAAGATGAGGCAACAACCCGAACAATGTAAATAGCATAAATAATTACAATTCATCTTCTCAGAAATATAAACAGATCCTGAACAAGGCCAGAATATAAAATAAAACAACGTGAATATAGCAACGAAGATGAGGACAACACTCTGAACAATGTAAATAGTGTAAATAATTACAATACTTCATGTCAGAAATATAGACAGATCCTGAAGAAGACTGGAGCATACAACGGCCTAAACATCTTGAATATGACAACGAAGATGAGGACAACAGGCAATATTAGCCGTTTCTCTACAAGGAAACATTTGGCAATCATTGACCGATCAGCCAGGAGATTTTTTTTTTGGTTGAAATTTATAATATCTTTCTCTTAAAAAATATGTTTCTCAAGTCAAGTAGCTGTTATTGCTCTTTCCAGTATTGATCAGGGTTTTCTTCCAAAGCTTTTATTTAAAGTGGTGTAGAATGTTAACATCTTGATTATGTTATTATTTTTTATTCATATTATATGTGCTATTCGTTTTAGTTATCGCTGCTGCTGCTGGTGGTAATCCTTAAGTGACGTGTTTTCTATTATTGGTACAATTCTTTCTGTGATTTTATAGCGCCAGCCCACAGTGTTCAAATAAAGATGATCTTTGCCAATAGCTTCAGGCTCCACTCGCTCAAAGCCTTTTTTCACTATTGATCTTAGGAAACGGTTGGCAGCTGACAGTTGACAGCTAGATATTTCTGAACAGGTTTGGCACCATGCATGGCATCCATATGAAAATCTCGATTTGTCAAGAATATTTAAGAACATGTCTCGAGTCTTCAGGTTGTGTTGGGCGAAAGTACCTCTGGCACAGCCTATTCTATTTTCCATTTCTTTTTCTCTTAAACTTAATTTGCTATACGTATTTCATACGTTCATCCATACACCGAGTTATATAAAGTGTTTAGCACAGGAATATAGGTCTTCAGCTGTGTCACCTCCTGAATTTGATGTTTATAATCATGATCTAATTTTAGTCTGATGTAATGAATATGCATACACCTGGATTCCCCCCTCACAGTAATATGATTGGCTGGTGTCAGACATAAATACACACTGATGAGAGGTACAGGGACGACGCCTATTGCCTGCACCTATTGCCTACGCCTATTGCCTACCACTACGACGAGGACCAGTCCATTACGGTTATCTGCTAGATTGTTCTACTTGGTTACAGTAGTCCAAAACCACTTTGCTACTTCGAAGAAATATATCCCTTTCCGGGACATATCATAGTCGATCAACGAATCTCAGCCAAGAGAATTGCTGAGAGACTACAGTTTGGAACGCGTTGGGTTTATAATTCTTAAGTGGTTCGTTGTGTTGATGTTGTCTACAGAATCGGCGCCAACATGTTTGAATGCCAAAAAGAAACGACATCAAGTGGAAAAATCCAAATTGATTTTCTACAATTTTCAGTGATTTACTTACAATATTTTTAAATGACTTGTCACTCTAGTTGAAGCATTATTACAAGAAAGTGTTGAAAAGTCGTCGGCTCGACCAAGAAGGAGTTCTGAAATATTTTCTGATATTTGATAATTTTGTTAGATTTCGAGAATTCGACCGGGTGGGAAAATTTTCGCATCTATCTATCGATCTATATTATTCATTGGATCTAACTTAATTAGAAATGTCTAAGTTACCATTTATATAAAATCTTTTTCTCAGATCAGGGACTAAACAAGGCTTCAAGTAAATGAATTATTTTGGCCCTTGGCGCTACATGATCAAAACAAAGTGAACTAGCAAATAACAAATACCACATGTTTTTCGGTGACATACTTTATCAATTCATATATTTTTCTCTATTTTATTATGCTTCAATATTTAAAGATTATGCTGCGTCAGTCTTGAAAGGTTTTCTTTGTCTTTTAGTTAGAAACCTGTGACTGTTGATATCGGTACGATATTTTATTAACTCAGCCAATGTCGTAAACAAAATTACTCATGACGTATGAATTTCCCTCAAATTTCGAGCAAATCACGCGCTGTAATCTGTTATTCTGTTGATCTCAATCAATCGATTAACATCAACTTGCTTCATTTTTCATTTTCTACACATTTATTTATATTGATCAAACATGATAGCAAAGAAAATTTCCTTTGCGGTGGTTGAAAACAACGTTAATGAATAAATGTTGCTATGATATTTTACGTAATTAGAAAAGCTATAATTAAAAAAAAAATTGGGTCGAAAATACTAATCAGAAACCCCCAAAACGAATTGCAATTAATATTTGAGGGGAATTGCTCTATGATTCAGTTTATTTTTACGCTGTACGTTTCGCTTCCTTTTCCGTCTTTCATCAGGGGAGTTTTTTTCCCCCCCACAATTAGCGGTTCTTGGAAAGAGGCTTTCTAAATGAAACTCGTCCTGGGTATGACGATACAACTATATCCGGCAGCAGAGAGACTGGAGGTTTTGAGTGGCGTGGAACCAAGTCTTAATTGCTGTTATTCCCAAGTTCACCCCGGCCCGAGATGGGAGCATCTGTGAGGGTCCCAGCTATGGGCAAATACTGACCCCGCCCCAAACAAAACACTATGAAAGTATAAAAATACATTTATATATATTTTTAAATTACCAACAATACATATTTAGAGTAAAATTACCAATAATATGCACATACTAAGAAACTGTAGCGACTTCAGCCAAATCCTTTTAAAATACTACCAAACAACCAACATGAAAGAACTTTCATGACTTTAATCCATATAATAACTGACAATTTCTGAAACCAAACTCTATTCCAAAATATAACAAAACTACAACATAAAACACACATATCACTAGCCCTAATAATCATGTCAATACAAACATGTATATACACAAAAGCTGAGTATCATCTAACATGTATACAACTGTGAAAGCAGAATAACATATATCATATTTTTATTACTTCAAACTCCCAAGAAAATTAAATTTCGGTATTAAATGACAATAAGGAGTCGATATATCATTAAACAAACGAATCTATCAATCTAAGTGAAACATTCTTCTTCCGAATGAAATACATGGGAAACGAGGATGATTCAGTTATTTGGACGTAACAAGACAGATCTTGGTTACAAATGTCTACACCGGTGTTACTAAAGATTGGACATTTGTTATGGAAGTTGCGATAGCTTTGTAATATGTTTGTGAGAAATGATGGCGAATAAGTCATTATTTGTTATTAATATGACTCACCTCAGATCACGCA